TATTGACTTATTTAATTCTCACAAATTAATGAGATATATGCCAATTTTATGGATAATTCTACGAGTAAGACAGTTGAGATACAGATATATAATTTGCTCAAGGTCATATAGCTTTCAAGTAGAGAGACTCCATTTAAATTATGGCAGTCTGTCTTCAGAGACCAAACTAATAAGCAGTGTACGCTATTGCTTCTCTGCTTGTACTTGTGATTACACATGTACTTCCTGCCTTGTTTATGATTGGCTGAGGAGCTAGATGGGACTGAACTTCAGTGTTTTCGCTGGAGGGTATGCAACAACTGACACACTTGCAGCATTGAGACCAGAATCTAGGCTCCCAGTTTTACAGCAGTGTATCTATGATGTACTACCGACAATAGGACATTTCAGCAAACAATGGCATAAATTAGTCTATTAGTAAGATCAATTTGGCAGTGATACTCAGCATGTTTAAGAGTGGAAAACATCCAGAGGCAGAGAGATCAGTTAGCTTTTTTCACTTTTCTTGGAATCATTATAAGGGAGCCTGATTCAGAGGAAAGGAATTGGCTGTGAAGCAATGCAGTGGAAATTTGAAGTAGAGCCATCACTTTTAATCCTGGTTCTGTTGCTTAATAGATTTATTTAGCATTTTTGGGCCTCAGATTTTTCTCATCCACAAGACAGGGGCAGTTGGACAGTCTCCTAGGACTCAAGTCTAATTCTCATCTACTGTGATATTTCTGAACTGAATTGTTGATTGATGGAAAGAAACTAATAAAAATGGGGGTGGGTAAAGTTTTGGATGATGACTCTGGGGTTATCTGTTGGGAAGTGATGGTTGGAATTCCTTCAAGATTAAGTAAATAACACTGAGCCGATCTGAGTAGTAAATATTTCCATTTGAATGTTCTACAAGCATCACAAATTCAGTTTTCTCAATATATGTTGTTTCTCTACCTGAATATCGTATTTTGGCTAATGGTATTAACATTCTCTTGCTACTTGAGGCAGACATGTAGATGGTCCTGTTTGTTCTGCTCATTTATCTTTATCAAGTTGGTACTTATATTCTGTTGGTTTTATCTTATTTATTGCTTCCCTAAACCTTCCTTTTCTTTATTAACACTGCTTTAGTTGAGACAGACATTAACTGTCTCTTCTCTGGACTTCATGAGTGGAGCCTATCCTCTCCCAATATTACCCTTTCTCTTTTTTAAAATGTTTATTCGTTTTGAGAGAGAGAGCAAGATAGAAAGAGAGGGAGAGAGAGAAGGAAGAAAGTGGGGGAGGGGCAGTATGAGAGACGGGGAGAGTGAGAACCCCAAGAAGGTCCCCACTCAGCACAGAGACCCACACAGGGCTCAAGCTCATGACCACAAGATCGTAACTTGAGCCAAAATCAAGAGTCAGATACTCAACCTTCTGAGCCCCCGAGGCACCCTTACCCTTTGTGTTTCTGATGCACAAATTTAATCATACTTTCCTTTTAGTCTTAAAGTTCTTAGCATAAATACTTTACCAGGCAATCAGCATCTTTCCTGAAGTTGCCCTTGCTATCTCTTCAATTGTCTTTTTGACACCTCTCCCTGGTTCCCTACATTCCAGGTATATGAGACCACTCAGGTTGTCTCATTGTTGTCTTGTTTCATACTTCTTTGCTTTTGCACTGCCTTGAATCCTTTTCTCCTGCTTTGCTAACCCTTGCTCTTGCTGCAAAACCAAGTTTACTGGAGTATATTCATTGCTTTCTTGCATGTTTCCCCTTCATAGTGGCTCAGTCCTTGGTACCATCATTCCATCATATAGATGTCTGTTTTTCAACAATTCCATTAGCATTTGCTTCCATATGTTTCCTTGATGGTAATGGTGAACACGTTGATAGGAGGGACTGTGTCTTCGGACTGGAACTCTTAGCCCAATAGTGATGCGTGTGCAACCTAGTAAATGTTTAGCTCATTTACCCTTTCTGCATATCCATTAACATCTCCCACAACAAATTATCAGAAATGGTGGACATCTAATTAGTCTTAAATCCAATCTTGAATGTCTAAGTGGAAGATCTTAAGAACTGATTGGCTTTTACAACTTTTTAGCTTCTTTCTGAAATTCTGAAATTGAAGATTACATTTCAAAACTCATTGAAATTGTTGGCTTTTAAGTGTAATTAGAAGGAAAGAATGTGACCTGGCTGAAATGAATCTGAACATTTTTCCTTTATAACTCTTCTTCTACCCCATGGTTATGGATATAGTATGAATGAAATCTCAAAAGAACACACTAATGTAATTGACCCAAAATATTTATTTTGCATGTAGCCTTGGATTAGTTATGTGACCTGCAGAAAAGCAATCAGGGACATTTCGTTTATTTTAAACTTTAGAGAGAAAGGATTGTCCTTTATCAGAAAGATCTGTTTCAGCAAGTTCACATACAGAGGAAAAATAACTTACTTGCAATCTTGATCTCTAATCATTGTTGAAGTTGATCACCAGTCTTTCTGTTCTCTTTACACTGAAATATTAGTGTTTGTTTTAAATGCTGTACTACATTTTTCTATAAAAAATTGCAACATTCCTGGGTGAAAAGTGTAACTACCTAATAGGTCTTTAGCTCAGAACTTTGAGCTTAGCAAATTTCACTGTCTTCTGCCAAGCAATTGAGTATCTTAAATGATGACTATTTCAGCAGGTATCTTTAATGAATAAGAATTACAGGTAAGAACATTTTTTTTCTTTTCCAATAAATGTTAATGAGTTGCATTAAAATTTGTTAATCTTAGAGTATCCTTTTGTAGTTATAAAAATGTAGTGTACAATTTAGTGATGAATTTGTAACTCAGTTAAAGTTTTTCAATATTTGTTTTCTTAAGTATTTCACTTGTTATTATAATTCTGTTCCATAAACAGAATATCAGGATAGTTAAGATAGGGATTATAAGCCTCTTGGTGCTAATTATTTCAATAACTTACTTTGTTCTCATTTACCAGTTTCTTAGCCAGTAAAATGAAGAGTAATAAAAACCTCTGTCACTAACCTACCTTCCGGAGATAGTAGGAGGACTCAGTTTCTCCAATTGAAATGGCAGGAATAATAGTAACACATGCTTAATGGCTTTCATTTTAATTGTTGAATAAAATCAGTTCATTAGGACAGCCATATGTGAAAATGATAATAAGCATTGTAATGTTTCTTATGTAAGAGTGTAAGGTTGATCTTTGATAATATTTTCAATAATAAGCTGAGAAGGAAAATTCTTATATAAAATATTCTTAAACTACTTTGTGACCAGTTTGTTTCACAGTTTTTCAAGCTGAGTTTAAAATTATTAACTGCTTAGAAATAAATATCAGTTGTAGTATACAAATTTATTTTAAAGGTTTTTAAAATCTATTTATTTTTCAGAGAGTAAATGCACATGTGTGTTCTAGAGGGAGAGGGGCAGAGGGAAAGAGAGAGAATCCCAAGCAACGTGGGACTCACTCTCGTGAACTGTGTGATTATGACCTGAGCCAAAATTGAAGAGTCAGACACTTAACCAACTGTGTCACCCAGGCATCCCTATACAAATTTATTTTAAAACTTCATTAATCCTATGTTTACTTTTTGTTTCTTCAGACTACGTTTTCATATTTTCTTAGTACTTTGTACATGTTATTCTTAGGATTATCATTTTCCTGTACAAATCATTAAAGCAATGAAGTTAGACTAAACACTTGAAATTTTATCTGGGTGAATATCATTTTTCACAGTTAAACACTTAAGAGAATTATAAAACCTTTAACTCCCAAAATGATTGACATTTATGCATTTTATCAGTCTTTCTGCAAGTTTTATTCATGTAAATTTGTTTAGTAAATTAGTTATAAATTACTATAATACACTACTAATGGTGTAAAAGAACAAAAAAGTACATGCTCAATTTTAAATTATTTGCAATGTCATGAAATAACTAAAATATAGATAAGTAGTTTTATACAAATTATTATTAATATCTAGTAAAGTATTAGCATTTATTGACCTAATTTTTTCAGTGTACCTTCAGAGAATGGAGAAAAAAGAGGGACGTTTGCTAACCATATTTCATTGACTAACCATGAGAGTAGCTTTTAGGATACTTGATATTTCTGTCGTATTATAAGTCTTCATTTGTGTACATGAAATTTAATTTAATATAGTTGTTGCTTATGTTAAATGTATTAATCTTTAAGTATAGCCATACCTTCATAAAATAATGAATACACTTAACTATGTATGAATGGCATTTTAGATCAGGTAGGCACTCGACTAATACATGGTTTACACTTGAGCTTAATGTATAATATAAGCAAATAATATTGCGTTATCAGCAGTTTCTAAAAGATCTTTTGGGAAAGCTAGCTTTTATATTATTTCAAAAGATTTTTTAGATGGCATATGCCTTTCTTAATGTACTAAATTATGATTATTTTTTTTTATTTTTAGAAACCAGGTTTAAGAAATTCATAGTTAATATTTAGCTATGCTTATGAAGGCTCTTAGGAGACTATTTCCTTCAGAATTCTAAATTATTTCTGTGAGTTTGCCACCTTAATTATAATATATCTCAAAATAGCATTATATTTAATTTCACAATAGATAGGATTTTTCTTCTTTCATTTTTTAAGCCCTATAATAGTAAATACTCATGAATATTAATATATGAGGCATATAACCTGCTTTCATTTTTTAAATGTAAAGTAATTCCTTTTTTGAAATTGTTTTACTAATATATTATGTCTTTTATTTATATTATATTTAACATAGAGAATTTCTTAAGTGCTCTCATGTTTAGAAAAGAAATACATGCCTGTATTAATTTACTTAGCACATTTATTGAATCTATTTTGTGCATTTTTTTCTTTAAAATATGTGTAGAAATCATTTACAAATCTACATTAGTTTAGATTTACATTTTGATTATTTTAAACATGCAAAAAAGAACTGTTTCATATTTTTCCATTGTAAATATAAAATATTCAAAACTTAATTTTGTTTTTAAGATTGAAAAATGAAGCTCCCACTAAGGAACAAGAACCTGTGTCTGAGGTAAGTTTTGTACTTTTTTTTTTTTTTTTACCAATTTTTACAAATTTTATTTGTACTTTAAAAGTTTATATATTTTAAAGTATTTTTGGTTTAATTTTTCAAACATTTTAATTTATTGTGTATACATCAGTAATTATTGGCATGTTATTACAGAAAACACTCTTTTTGTTTTTTCCTGTCATTAGATAGAAAATATGTAACCCTAAGTAAAATTCTAAGATGTTTTGTTTTTACAAACATCATATATATTTACAAGCATCATATATTTCACTTGTCCATTCTTTAGTTCAACTAGTGAGTTAATGGAGATAAATTTATGATGTAAAATTCCTGAAATCAGTAAAACCTCAAACATTTGACACTTTGGAAGACTAATCTTTCCAGATGATTTTATTTTCTGGGACATTCTGAAAGATTTAACTGGTTTTTAAAATAGAAATGTTTTAGGTGTTTTAGCTACTGGTTAAATGTGTTCTAGCTATTTTCAGTTGACACTCTTAATATAACACTCAGGGTTATCATATAAATGTTATTTACTGGAGAGTTTACTGGATGTGTATAGAAGTAGTTTTGCTCAAGTACTTGTTTTCTTGATGTCATTCATCTTAATATTACAAAATATTACATGTCTCCTTCTGAGTGTAATGAAGTGAGGCAGGTTCAGCTTTTATCCTTGCAATATTTCCATCTTATAGAGTGAGTGAGACCTAGACACAATTAACCACCTTCTTCCAAGCAGCTTTCTTTTACACCACACAAAGTTTTCTTTTGTTTGAAACGTTTTTAACTACAAATAAGCTTAATAGAAATAGGATTTTTTGGTTATATGATTATTCTTGAGTGAGTGTTAGTAGTTCATAGTTTTTAATGTTGGATTTATCTTTATAGAGTTGTTTGAACTATTCCCTTATTCTTCTAATGTCTGTAGGGTCTGCAGTCTTACTCTTCGTGTTCATTCCTGATGTTAATAGTTTTTGAGTTCTTTTTTCTATTGTTGTCATATATTTGCTTTTATAAAGGTTATTAAGACAAAGTAGTTGTACTGTTTTTATTTTAGATAGTTATTTTTAGAGCAGTTAAAAACTCTAAAAATTGGTTTTATATTCACCTTTGTTTTTACTACGCCCAGTGTTTGTTGTTTCTTTGTTAGCGCCCCATTTCTGTCTAGTATCACATTCCTTTTGCCTCCACAACTTCCTTTGATATATTTTATGTTGCAGATCTACTGGTAAATAATTCTTCTATGCTTTTTTTATTTTTGAAAGATATTTTTTGTAAGTGTAGAATTCTAGGTTGACAGTATTCTTTCAGTAGTTTAAAGAAGTCCCTTTATTGCTCTTGGTTTGCATATTTTCTGACAATATGTCTTACTGAATTTGGATCTTTGTTTCTATATATATGTAATATATCAACATTTTTTTGGTTGCCCTTAAGATTTTATCTTTATTTTATCTATAGTTCGCATCAGTTTGAGTGTGATATATCTTATTCTGGTTTGTTAATCTGTTTGTTTATATGTTTATATGTTATACGTTAATCTGTTTATATGTTTGTATTTTTATGTTTATTTGTATGTTTCTTTATTTATTTGGGGCCTTTACCATGATTGGTGTTCTCTGAGCTGTCCTGTATCTTTTACTTCTGGGGTTCCAGTTTCTTAAATACTATGCCATTTGTTGTTAGTTCCTGTTCTTAGAGTCCTGTTTTAGTCTCCACCCTAGCCCACGCACACTTTTTTGTGTTTTAGTGTGGGTAATTTCTACTTATTGACCTGTATTCTGTTTCACTCATTCATTGTTTTCAGCATATCTGGTCTGCTGATGCACTCATCAAAGGCATTTTTCATCCCTGTTGTTGTGTTGTTGTTTTCCTAGCATTTGCATTGACTTTTGCAGTTTCTGACCCTCTGGTAAAATTCCCATTCTGGTCATGCATCTTGGCCTCCTTTTTTCACTCAAGCCTTTAACATATTAATAATAGTAATTTAAAACTTTCTGTCTGGTAGTTCCAATAGCTAGGTCATTTATGAGTCTGGTTCTGCTGATTGCTTTGTCTCCTTAGAGTCATTTTTTCCCATTGCCTTTATTTGTTTGTTTGTTTGTTTATTTGTTTGGTGTTATATAATGTTTGGTTGACAGCAAGACATTATATTGCAGGACTAAGATAAATAGTATATATATCTGAAAATAGGTGTACCTTTTCTTATGTTAGGTCGGAATTTGTTTCATTTAATAGTGAGTTGAACTGGGCCGTAGCTTTCTTGTTGCTGTGGTTACCCTTAATGTACTACAGGTTCAATTCATCTAGCATTTCTTTGTGCTTAGGGTGGGAGTTATATTGCTGGAGGTTTTTTTTCCTCAGTGTCCTTGTTTCACACTCAGCTTTAGTCCCTGTGAGACTGAATCTTACAGGGTGTGTCCTTCTCTCTCTACGCTGTTGCTTGTTATTTGGTGTTTACTAGCCAGGCGGTGGTTGGTGGGGTGTGGGGTGATGTTCTCTGTTCTGGTTTTTCCTCACTCTTAGTTCTGGGTCTTGAGATTTTTTTGTCTTCCATCCTCTAGCCACAGTTGGCCCCTGTGCCCTGGGGGCAACAGGGTTTGCCCATCTTCTTTACAAATATGTAAAGGCATGAACATGAAGAAAATTTATGAATCCATAATTTCATGACATCATCTACTGATTCTTTTCTGATACATTCATACTTGACTAGAATAAATCTTTGAACTCTTACTTTTCTTTAATTGCCATGTTTCATCTGTGTCAAATAAAACCAGCCTTTCATACATAAACCAAATTCCTGAAGTTCATTTTTTGTTAAAAGAAAAACCTTACACAGAAATTCAGCAAACCATAAGCAGAGTAAAAGGAAGCCATATTGAATGGAAAGCCACATAGAACATACTGCATACAGTGCAGGTATGTCCATTAAGTATATATGTGATGTGGGTAGTTCTTTGAATAGATGCAGGTATTTATTTTAGGTACACTTGTGATAGGATGGATAACTTGAATTAATCTTAAAGATTTTGATCAGATGCACTGTAGTGGAGTCACTGTTATCATGCCCAGATAATATTTTCCTGGGTATCACTCTTTTTCATTCTATAGTTTTACGTTTTCTCTTTGAAAGTTAGTTCCTTTCACATACTAGATTATAATTGGAATTCATATGATTTAGTGGCTTCTAACATAGCCTCTCTTATGCCGCTATTTGTATTCTATACACTCAACAATCTACTGCTTTTGTTCCATAACTGTATGTATATCATGAATCTTCCCCTCCAATTTGTGGGTTAGTGGAGTTTCATTATAACGTAGGTAGGGAGTAAGAAAAAAGAGTCAGGCACAAATGTCTTTTTTGTCTAAGTTTTTATTTAAATTATAGTTAGTTAACATATAGTATAATATTAATTTCAGGTGTACAATATACTGATTCAACACTTCACACAACAGCCAGTGATCATCACAACAAGCGCACTCACTCCCTGATCCCCATTGCCTATTTTACCCGTGCCCCTCCCCCACCTCCTCCGCTGCCACCTCCCTTCTGGTAACCATCAGTTTGCTTTCTGTAGTTAAGAGTCTGTTTCTTGGTTTGCATCTCTCTTTGTTTTCACTTTACTCATTTCTTTTGTTTCCTAAATTCTATACATTAGTGAAATCATATGGTATTGTCTTTCTCTGACTGACTTATTTCGCTTCGCATAATATTTTCTAGCTCCATCCATGCCTTGCAAATGGCAAGAATTTCATTCTTTTTTATGGCCAAGTAATATTGTATCTTCTTTATCCATTCATCAGTTGATGGACAATTGGACTGTTCCCATAATTTGGCTGTTGTAGATAATGTAGATAATAACCCCAGTCTCAAGCCTGGGGTACATGTATCCCTTTGAATTAGTATTTTCTATTCTTTGGGTAAATACCTAGTAGTGCAATTGCTGGATGGTAGGATAGTTCTGTTTTTAACTTTTTGAGAAAACTCCACACTGTTTTTCACAGTGGTTGCACCAGTTTGCATTTTCACCAGTAGTACCAGAAGGTTCCCCTTTCTCCACATCTTCTCTAACACCTGTTGTTTCTTGTGTAGTTGATTTTAGCCATTCTGAAGGTGTGCAGTGATATCGCATTGTAGTTTTGTTTTGTATTTCCCTGATGATCAGTGAGGTTGAGCATCTTTTCATGTGTTTTTTGGCTATCTGTATGTCTTCTTTGGAAAAATATCTATTCATGTCTTCTGCTCATTTTTTAATTGGGTGATTTGTTTTTTGGGTGGTAAGTCTTATAAGTTCTTTATAGATTTGGGATACTAACTCTTTATTGGCTATGTCATTTTCAGATATCTTCTCCCATTATGTAGGTTGTCTTAGTTTTGTCGATTGTTTCCTTCGCTGTGCAGGAGCTTTTTATTTCAATAAAGTCCCCATAGTTTATTTTCACTTTTTATATCCCTTTCTTCAGGAGATCAATCTAGAAAGAAGTTGCTAAGGCTAATGTCAAGGATTTTATCACCTGTGTTCTTCTCAAGGATTTTGATGGTTTCCTGTATCACATATAGGTCTTTCATCCATTTTAAATTTATTTTTATTTATGGTGTTTCTTAAGAAAGTGGTCCAGTTTCATTCTTTTGCATGTTACTGTACATTTTTTCCAGCACCATATGTTGAGGAGACTTTTTCCCATTGATTATTCTTTCCTGCTTTGTTGAAGATTAATTAACTATATGCTTGTGGGCTCATTTCTGGGTTTTCTGTTCTCTTCCATTGATCTATGTGTCTGTTTTTGTACCAGTACCATACTGTCTTGGTCACTACAGGTTTGTAATATAACTTGAAGTCTGGAATTGTGATGCTTCCAGCTTTGCTTTGCTTTTTGAGGATTGCTTTGGCTACTCAGGGTCTTTTGTGGTTCCATACAAATTTTAGGATTGTTTGTTCTAGCTCTGTGAAAAATGCTCTTGGTATTTTGTTAGAGATTGCACTAAATGTATAGATTGCTTT